TATTGAAGAACACTAACGAGTGTGTACTAACGAGTTTATGCGGGTTTTCTGAGGTAAATATGACGATGACATTGATTACAAGCTGTTTAACTGACGTCTTTCCACGGTTGAAACGCTGATTGAGCGAATCAATGTGACATGATACGGATTTCGATAAGTTGTACTCACTTTCAGATGCTCATTCATGTTTATTTGTTTATTTGTATTTGTTGTCACAGCGCCAAAACACTATTTATGTTTTTGAATTTCTAAAGAAAATGGACGTAATTTGAAAATTGAGACTTTGTTTCATATCAATAGTAACAAAGGACAAAGATTATTGCGATTTTTTTGGACGCGCGCAGCCGCGATACAATGTCCCATTCATTCAAATGAAACAGGATGACTAATCGATTCTTGAGATTTAAGAATCGATATCGGTTCGTAAAAATGAGAATCGATTAATATCGAGAAATCGATATTTATTACCCAGCCCTATTATTTACACAATACAGTATTAAAGTCAACAAGAAAACACATTTGCAACTCATTTTATTGGCAATCTGACATTTTCGGAGATATTTTTTGGGATATGGTTATATGGTTTCTCTTCAGACCAATATAATCAATCTCTCTATATTTTTTCCCTCTTTTGTAAAGTCACAGAAACACTGTTTCGGAGCAAACTGGAATGCAAAAGGTACATTTTGTTGCAGTTTTTAAAGCTCTTGACCGGCAGAGAAGTGAGATTCGCTAGATTAACACTCAGTCGTCAGCACATTTAGCATGCAGCGAACCGCTCCGGTTTAACTAACATGTCAAATCCATCCTGATATGAAAATAACACCTCAGGAGGAAACCTCTGGAGGACTTTGTAACTTAACTGTTCCGAAGGCTTTGTGTGTGTAACGGTGTCATCCAGCGAGACTGCGCAGAAACACACGCGTTTCATGCCAGGCAGGCGTGGAGGAGCCCGGAGCACCGATGAGGAACATCTGTTTGAAGTCTGGGCAAAAAGAGGGCTGTTTTTGCATGCCGAGGATTGCATTACAAAGACATGTCTTGGAAGATAAACTGGGGCAATATCAGTGCACTGAAGAGAGAGAGAGAGAGAAAGCAGGCCTTTATTTCCATACATCCTCTCTCTCTCTCTCACGAACACAGCTTTGGAGATGTGAGGGTTTATGAGGTGGGAGTAGATGTTTTTCGCAGGCGCTCTTAAGTCTGGAGGTCTGAGGTGGGCGAACACATTCCTTGTTGAAGTCAAAATTAAATCAAAATTGACCTTAGACACAGCTCACCCCAAAATGAAGTTGGGAAGAAGTTTTCAAGAATGTTCATGCTGCACTTTTCCAAGCAACAACACTGCACAGTGACTGTAAAGCTGTTCAATGGCTCCTTTATAGGGGTAGTTTCAACATTACGGGAGTAAAATTATATTATATATAAGTATAGCCAACTTTATCCGAATTAAAAAAAAACATAAAACCCAACAAGTTCAGCTAACTCATTTCATTTGAGGACACCGATGAACTCAATTCAATTAAGTTTATGAAAAACAATAGTTATGAGTACTGTGAGCTTATTCTTTATACACAATTAAACTTTACACTGCATTCAAATACTTTATATAGCGGAAACTTCACTGTATTGAGTAAAAAGAGTGAAATTACAAACTTTAAATTAACTTTTTTAAGTGCTTCCAGCTACTGCTAGCTCACAATTTCACACACTAAGTCAAATCCTATAAGTTAAGCTAACACATTACATTTGAGGACACTGATTACCTTAATTACATTTTTAGAAACTAAAATAAGATATACATCGCAGTCAAGATGTTAATTGACTAAATAAGTGATGATTGAACATTAGTGACGAACACATGGGTAATATGAACATTACAGAAGTAAAATGGCTCACGAATGCTATTTCTATTCTTTATACAATCTTTGATATATATATATATATATATATATATATGGGGAAAAACCCTAGTGAAAAAAAAACAATACAAAATGTATTTAAAATACATTTATTTCATACTAAGTACACTACAATCCATTAACATACAGTATTTACTGACATATCGCTTGAGAATTTCTAATATAAATATTATAATTAAACTTTATTTGGAGTTAATCTCAATTGCACAATACACATTTAATAATATTAAGCCTAAAATGTGTTTTAATATCACTACTTGTAAGTATAAGGACTGAACAATATCAGTCATTAAATGCAAGATATTTAAAAGTGTACGTGCAATACTTCCACTTTAGCACAAGCAAATAAACAAGTATCTTTATTTCAATTCAAGCAGTATTTCTGGATAACTAAAATGCATTAAGAACAAAACTAGTTCTTCCAATTGACCCTTCGCTAAGCCACGCCCGAAAAACGCTACTGGCCAATTGTGTCTTAGCAACCGTAACTAGGCGTGGGAGGTCTGGCAAGCTTCCGAGCGAGGGAAACCTGCCAAAGCATTGTGCGTATGGATTGTGCAAATCTGAGAAATGATGGGTGAGATCAAGCAGTGTGGGAGACCCATTCACAACTAAATGTCGACAGGATTAACAAAAACAACTATTGGTTGGAAATATTGACGGTTCTTTGGTTATAATACATTTTAACGTAAAATAAGACGATTAAAGACAAGACGGAGGCTCATACTTTAAAATATATTTCAGCATTTTGTTAATCGACGGCCTACTACCCTTAAGTAACTTTAACCCAATGCGATTGCGGCTCTCCCGGTTTTATAGTGTTATTCCTCAAGATTTATGGATAAGCTGTTTGATTTATAATTATTAGCATTATTTTCACATTTCACTTACCCTGCTGTGCACGAACACAGCTGTTCCTCCCTGCTTGCGCTGGGCTTTGGCTTCAATTTTAAGAAATGATTCTCTAATCGGTTGCATATTATGTCGTGGATATATCCCTCGAATGGAATACTGCAGTCCTTTCTGTCTTGCTCTCTCAGATATTTCACATGTTCACCAAAAATGACTAATTATCTCATTGGGAATGTCTGACAACGGTGCATCCACATTATAATTCAATTCAGCAGACCTGAAGTTTACTCACCTAAAGGATTATTAGGAACACCACACTAATACTGTGTTTGACCCCCTTTCACCTTCAGATCTGCCTTAATTCTACGTGGCGTTGATTCAACAAGGTGCTGAAAGTATTCTTTAGAAATGTTGGCCCATATTGATAGGATAGCATCTTGCAGTTGATGGAGATTTGTGGGATGCACATCCAGGGCACGAAGCTCCCGTTCCACCACATCCCAAAGATGCTCTATTGGGTTGAGATCTGGTGACTGTGGGGGCCATTTTAGTACAGTCAACTCATTGTCATGTTCAAGAAACCAGTTTGAAATGATTCCAGCTTTGTGACATGGTGCATTATCCTGCTGGAAGTAGCCATCTGAGGATGGGGACATGGTGGCCATAAATGGATGGACATGGTCAGAAACAATGCTCAGGTAGGCCGTGGCATTTAAACGATGCCCAATTGGCACTAAGGGGCCTAAAGTGTGCCAAGAAAACATCCCCCACACCATTACACCACCACCACCAGCCTGCACAGTGGTAACAAGGCATGATGGATCCATGTTCTCATTCTGTTTACGCCAAATTCTGACTCTACCATCTGAATGTCTCAACAGAAATCCAGACTCATCAGACCAGGCAACATTTTTCCAGTCTTCAACTGTCCAATTTTGGTGAGCTCTTGCAAATTGTATCCTCTTTTTCCTATTTGTAGTGGAGATGAGTGGTACCCGGTGGGGTCTTCTGCTGTTGTAGCCCATCCGCCTCAAGGTTGTGTGTGTTGTGGCTTCACAAATGCTTTGCTGCATACCTCGGTTGTAACGAGTGGTTATTTCAGTCAAAGTTGCTCTTCTATCAGCTTGAATCAGTCGGCCCATTCTCCTCTGACCTCTCGCATCAACAAGGCATTTTGGCCCACAGGACTGCCGCATACTGGATGTTTTTCCCTTTTCACACCATTCTTTGTAAACCCTAGAAATGGTTGAGCGTGAAAATCCCAGTAACTGAGCAGATTGTGAAATACTCAGACACCAACAACCATGCCACGCTCAAAATTGCTTAAATCCCCTTTCTTTCCCATTCTGACATTCAGTTTGGAGTTCAGGAGATTGTCTTGACCAGGACCACACCCCTAAATGCATTGAAGCAACTGCCATGTGATTGGTTGATTAGATAATTGCATTAATGAGAAATTGAACAGGTAGGTGAGTGTATATCAGTTTATCAAACCAAAAGTGCAATCGCAGGGTATTTATATCAACTTCATAAATATGTAAATGTAGTTGTAGTATACTTAACATGAAATGCATGTTTTTGTTTGTACAAGGTCATTTTTGAGATGCTTTTTAAATGCCTATAAATAACTATTTTGCAACTTTCCATGGCTGTTTACTTTCTAAACATTGATTTTAAGGTTGATGCTTATACTTAACCTCCCAGGTATCTTCAACAAACCGCAAGCCGTGTTCCTAATTGTAAGGCGTCCGCTTGTGTTTGTCACGACACAATCTGACCACTGATCTATTGGACAAAAGGCATCCTTGGGGCTTTTCCACAGAATACGATGCCAACTCAGTGCAGCTGTTCCTCAGTAGTTCAACACACACAGAGCTCATCCCAACAACTGTCTAAGGAGCCCAGCGAAGGTCACCAGAGGTTTTCAGGACAAAAGAGCGCTCACACACACACACACACACACACACCAGGTTCAGAGACCCTCCTGCAGCTAATAATCAGATAATTAGCTCTCTCTCTCTGTCTTTTCCCTAACTCAAGGTCAAAGTGGCCTGTTATTATTGAGAAATCCCTCTGAAACGAGGACAGCATTCCTGGCCCAGGGCTCTGGCTCTTGAAGCCGGATCTCGGGGAATGTGTAAAATGTGCATATCAGTGCCTCTGTGAGGAGACGTGGCTTTTCCTGGCGCTTCAGGGGCCGTCGAACACACTTTGGGGTAACTTTACCTGCTCCTGGTACTCCAGCTCTCGGCTCATCAGCTTCTTCTCCGCGGCGTGCAGCTGTTTCTGAAGAGTCTCCACACGATCCTGAAGAGCCTGAAGTTGAGAATCGAGTGTTAGATAAAGTAGAGTTCAGATTAAAGGAAAGAAGCATCACTGTCAATAAAACCGAGGATTTGGGGTGTAACGATACCCTCATGTCACGATTCGATGCATATCACGATACCATATTATTGCAATACTCTATGGTAAAGATCAACAAAGAGTGTCCTGTTGATTAAAATGCTAAATTTGGCTTTGCATTGTGTGTGTGAATGAATAGGCTTGAAAATCCAAAGTAAAGGACAATAGAGACACCAGTAAATTGCAATGGTTTGATTGGATGAAATCCTTAAAGAGCACAACCTGGTGACATGGAAACATTATTGTCATACTACACTCTATAAACTTCAGGCTAATCTCATTATTAACATATGAACTAGAGCCAGACCGATATATCGGCAGACCGATATCATGGGGCCGATATTAGGCATTTTCCAAATTATCGGTATTGAGTTGGTCACGATACATACATTGCTTCAATAACAATTAAAAGAACATCCCCATCAGTTCTCTTAACTCAAATAAGCATGACAGAATTTGTGACTAATCATCTCCAGTTTAAAAAAAATAGAAAATAAATGAATAAATAAAATATCGGCCGATATATCGGATTTTAAAACCCCAAAATATTTGTATCGGTATCGGCCTTCAAAATCCTTTATCAGTCCGGCTCTAATATGAACACCCACATTTGCATAAAAACACCCATTTAGCATCCTGAAACCTGACCCGATGAAGGAAAGTACATGGAAATCAGCAGGAGGTCTTAAAGAGACCAGCTTGTTGAATTGTAAAATGGTTGCAGAAGTTCTAGCATAGCTCTAATGTTGCAGGGCACAAGGCCTGACTTGTAACGCAATATAAATTGACTACTAATCGACCCAGGGTCAAAAATGAATGCTATGCAGAGCAAGTGAGAAGCTTTTTTGAGGAATTGCAACATAATACAGTGTTTAAATCCCACTGAAAGAGAGAAGAAACCTTCAGCCCGTGCTGATGTAATCAAACAGCTGTGTACCTCTGACAAAAACTGTCCAGCACTCTCATCCGTTCACTTCAGAATTAACATTTCCTGATCATTTACTCGCCCCCACGTCATCCATCAGATGTTCATGTCTTCAGTGGAAAAGAAATGAAGGTTTTTGAGGTAAAAGTTCCAGGATTTTTGGTTTGTCTAGATAAGACTCTTATTTCTGGGCTGGGATCGAAAGTGTCGAGACTTTGAAGCTGCACTGAAACTCACATCTGGACCTTCGACCCGTTGGACCCCACTGTAGACACTATATGGAGAAACATCCTGGAACGTTTTCCTCAAAAGACATGATCATCTTGGATGACGTGGGGGAGAATAAATGATCAGGTGAAGTGAACTAATCCTTTAAAACGGACGTCCGTCCCTTGCAACTTCGTTTACATCAGCAATGAAATCTCACATGAAATATGCCGTCTACCTAAGGTCCACCAGCAGGTTAATTTTGGAAAAATTTAGGACGACAAAGTCACGACCTTCCACATCTAATAAAACACAACCAGCCAGTAACCCAAACACCAGCAGATCCCAGAACTGCAACAGGCTTTGTGTGGTGATGTTTCCTGGAAGAGTGCTGACAGTCACGAGCTGAGTCTTTCATGTGGTTCCTAGCAGATTTACCAAACGCCGGGGTGGGGTGAGGGGCCGAAAATATCTCTGTCTTTGTCATAAAAGGACCCTGTCATCTGCGGCTCTCATTAATAAACAGCCTGAATGAGCCATTGTGGGTGATCCCTTTGTCCCGATGTTCTCCTGAAGAGCTCACTGGGTCCGTCCAGACTGGAGAAAGGTCAAGCTGAGCATGAAGGTGAGGGAGGCCAGTAAAGAAAACCTCTTAAAGTGGGTTTGTGGCCCGATGCTCTACAGGGCTCCGTTTCATTTGATCTCACAGCACTCAATGGGCCACTTCACCACCAATCCTAAAGGCCCTATCATACGCCAGACGCAACGCTAGTTTCAGCCCGACACAGTTTTCATTTTCACGTCTTGTTTAAATAGCGAATGCTTTTGCGGCCAGATTTGTGTACTGGTCTGAAAACCAGGTGTGTGTTGAGGCGCATTGATGGCGCCAGGGTTTGATATTAACTTGTTCACTCACTAGGCAATTACACTGTAAAACTGAATACGCTTTTTCTAATCAATAAAATTGTGGCAACAAATTACAAGCAATATTATTAATTAAATTGAACAAATTAGAATTGAGTAATAATTAATCAAATCATTCCTTAAAAGTTAACCATTTAAAATGAGTAAAGTTTACACCAAAAAATGTAACAAAAATATCTCACTAACAGACAGACGTCAAAGATTAATTAAGAACTCTTTATTTTGTATTGCCAACATTGAAGACACCTGATGATAACAAGCAGAATCACTGAAGGAGAAAATCGTCATTTTAAAACAAACCTAAAACAAATACTGATCAGCACAATGGTGACTTCAATGTAAGTTTTTTTACAAATATTTTTTTTTAAGTTTTACTCATTTTAAATGGTTAACTTTTAAGGAAATAATTTAATTAATTATTACTCAATTCTAATGTGTTAAATTGAATTAATAATATTGTTTCTGTGCGATACGCTGTGTTTAATATATCATGAGCAGTGTTGGGTAAGTTACTCTAAAAAAGTAATTAATTACTAGTTACTAATTACCTCTTCAACAGTGTAATTAGATTACTGCACTAATTACTCTCTCTAAAAAGTATTTAATTACTTTTAATTACTAATTACTTTCAAAATCCCATATCAATCTCAACCAGCTGAATAATACAAGGATAGACATGAATCTGTTTTAATTCTTTCAAATAAATACTATAAAATTGCATGAAGTATCCTTAAACTGACCAGGGTGGAGAAGGTTACATTATAAAAACATACTTTTTAGCATCAGACAATACATTTTGATGTTAAACCCACTATTGTTTTCTGTCTGATCTCATGACATTTCACACTTTTTTTCATACATATTTTGCAATAATTCATATGAATTTGTACAGGTCGTACAAAAATGCATACGAATCGCTGTGAGATCGGATTACACACAGTATTTACCTCAATTACATCAGAAGTAACTGTAATTAAATTACTGATAAATGAAGAGTAATCCCTTACTTTACATTTTCAAGGGAAAAGTAATTAAATTACAGTAACTAATTACTTAGTAATTAGTTACACCCAACACTGATCATGAGGACTCACAAGTATTTGTGCTAAATCTGCACAGATTTTAGATGGGAGCGCCGACCATTTTTCCCGTCGGTAAACTAGCAAAAGTGGATTCGGACACGCAATAACAGCAATTGAGCCGCGCGCTTTAGACCACGCCCCTAAAAAAGAGCGTTAAAGGCCCGTTCACACCAAGAACGATAACTGTATTAGCGTCCGCACCAAGACCCACAACGGCCTTTTTATTCTAGGCTCGTTTTAAATTCGAGTGGATTCTGATTGGCTGTCCGTGTTTTATCGTTTTATCGTATCGTTCTGAAAGTGATCCCGACGATATGGTTCCTCACATCTTTCTAGTTGTGGTGTGAACGCTGCTATTCGTCAATATGGAATTGAACCATATCTTTATCGTTGTCGTACTTGGTGTGAAGTACTCCAGGACTCGCGATCCGCACTTGATACGGGATACACCTTGTGTTTTCCCATCGAAATCTTCCAAAGGGGCCAAAGGAAAGCATCGCAGCCTCACAGCTGTTGTTCCTCTCTGCGTGAACGTGTGATTTTCTATGGTGAATCTCTCCAAACGGGGTCCAGATGGCCAGAGCGATACGCTCTTTATCAGCCGGCCAGAGCAGGATCAATCTAAACAACCGGCAAACGTGGAACATTTGATTCCCCGGGGGCGAGAGACAGGCATGGCACTGGCCTTTATTCTCTCACTTTCTTGTCTTGGTTTCCTTCAACAGCTGTTTATCCCCATAGATTACCAAAACACACACACACACACAGCTAATACGCCGTTCACACACGTACAGACCTGCATAGATGCTCACTCGCACTCAAAGTGAGACCTGAGTCATTTTTCTTGGGTGGTCCACCCCGAACGATAAGGCAAGTATGTTTCCCTCGGGTAAAGGCAACAGAAAAGAGAAAAAGGGCCTCTTTTAAACTGCATCCCATCTTTTGTTAGCACTAGCCGGCTATTCATGTGGAATTTCTATTTGTAGTGTTCTGCTTTCAGAAGTTTTCCAAGCGTCAGATTAAAGAGATCCGCTAATGACGACAAGCCAGAGCACTTTAAACCTACAGAAGTGCAGTTCTGGCCCAGAGGGCTGGTGTGTGTGTGTGTGTGTGAGGCTAAATTACAGACGCTCTTCCCTTCCCTCTGTCTTCCAGCTGTGCACATGTGAGGCTCACGATGACAGCGTGGAATGTGGATGTGGTGGATATACAATGTCTATAACCTGACTATTGAACGATGGATGTGAGGAAGAGTTTTGCTAGCAACAACAACTTATTTATTAAGAGCAGATATTCATTTGAGGTTTATCTAGTCTTAAAGGGATACTCCACTTTTTTTTGGAAATAGGCTCATTTTACAACTCCCCCAGAGTTAAACAGTTGAGTTTTACCGTTTCTGAATCCATTCAGACGATTTTCTGATATTTAGAAGAATATATCAGTAACCAGACAGTTTCCGGTCTCATTGACTTCCATAGTAGGAAAAAAATATATATACTATGGTAGTCAATGAGACCAGAAACTGTCTGGTTACTGATATTCTTCTAAATATCAGAAAATTGGCTGAATAGATACGAAAACAGGTAAAACTCAACTGTTTAACTCTGGGGGAGTTGTAAAATGAGCCTATTTCCAAAAAAAGTGGAGTATCCCTTTAATGGGAATCATTCATCCTTGCATGTTACTCTAAAGAAAGAAAAAACGTTCATAAGTAAGGATAATTATTAGAAAATAATAATTCATTTGGCGTAGTGATATGAAACTGTAATGCAGTC